TACTCATCTCTAGAAGTGGAAATAAATGAATTTGTGAGAGCCAGTTTGATTCGAGAGTTGGACTGGGGCACCGGGATTCAAATTTCCACTTAGCCATGGAAATGCACTGGTGACCTTGGCCAAATCACACTCTCTCAGCCTAAGAGGAAGGCAAAGACCAAATTCTGCCAAGAAAATGCTGTGATGGGTTTGCCTTAGGGGCTGCCATAAGTCAGAAATTACTTGAAGGCACATAACAAAAGCAGTGCAATCTGTGGTTTGCAGCCAGTGCACATTTTTTCAGTTTTCTTTCATAAAGAGAAAGCTGTAAGAATTACATTGTTGTTTTTTTTTTTGTTAGATTGAATCCATGTATACATATCTTTGAAAAAAAATTCAGACAAATGTGCTTTTGTTAGTAGGAAAAAGGTATACAAAATGTGTTCACATTAAGAACCATTGGTTAAAAAAAAAATACGTTAATTAGAAAAAGTGTGTATCAAATGCAGACAAATTCCCAAGCAGAGTGAGGAAAAACTGAGTCTCAAAACTGAATGCAAAGCAATGGTGAGATTAAAATGTAAGTGCATTTGGAGAAACACAATGAAACTGAGAAAATGAAAAGTTCACCTCTTCTTGAAATCTAGGAAAGGATGATCTGTGTAAGCATCACAGAGCTGATTCCCTTTGGAGAGCAATTCAGATAGCTCAGTTGTTGCCTCAGGTCTCTGAAGGGGAGAAAGAAAATAATAATGTTATATGAAAGAAAGACCATTGTTTGCAAAGCAGAAAAAGAAAAAGAAATGGAGACTTCTCTTTTTGATAGATCACACCCCACACTTGGAAAAGCCAAAAAGGCCAGCGCTAGGTAGCATCAACAGGACAATAGCGTCCAAATTAAGGGAAGAAATATTACCATTCTATTCAACTTTGGTTGGTTTTCAGCTGGTAAACCTGGAATATTGTGTCCTGTTCTGGGCAGTTCAATTCAAGAAGGGTATTGATAATCTGGACTGTGCCCAGAGGAGTCAGGTCAAGATGGCAAAGGATCTGAAAACCAAGCCTTTTTAAAAGAACAACTTAGGAAGTTGGGTAAGATTAGCTTGGAGAAGAGAAGACTGAGAGGTGATATGGTTACATTGAAAGACTGAGAGGTAACACAATAAAATATTTGAAGAAATTAGTATGTAAAGAGATCTGGCAGCACCTCTGAGTTTAACTGAAAGAAAGAAGTTGCCAGCATGAGCTTTCATGCCAACTTCTTTCTTTCAGTTAGTCTCAAAGGTGCTACAAGATCTCTTTAGAATTCAAAGATATAGCAGTGTTAGTCTGCAGAATCAGAATGTAGTGAGATCTCTTTACATACTGATTTTACAGACTAACATCACTATGTCTTTGAATTCTACTACTATTTGAAGATATGTCATGTAGAACAGTGCTTCCCAGGCTATCTGATATGGAGGACCAGCAATTATTTATTTCCAATGTGCCAGGGACCAGCAGGGACCATTGGGTATAATTATTTCTTCCCTTCCTCAAAACTTGTCAGGACCAGCAGCCAATGGCTCAGAGACTGGCACTGCTTCAGGGGCCACCACTTTGTGTAGCACTGGTCTAGAAGATGGAGTAAGGTTTTTCCCCTCTGCTGCTCCAAAGACTAGCATATGAACCACTGAATTCAAATGACAAGAAAAGAGAATCCACCTAAATATTAGGAAGAACCTCTTGTCAGTAAGAGCTGTTCAACATTGGAACGGCTTGCCTTTGAGAGTGGCAGAGTCTCTTTCCTTGGAAGTCTCTAAACAGAAGTTTGATGGCCATTTCTTGGGAGTGTTTTTTGTGCATGGCAGGGGGTTGGACTACATGACTGTTCTGGTACCTTTCAATTCCATGATTCTGATTTTTTTTTTAACTAAACCTCCCAGAATCCCCTAGCCCACATGTCATGCTGACTGGGGCATCCTGGGAGTGGTTTCTCAGTTTCCATGCTCTGTGCTAAAACAATGTTCCAACTCAGTTCTGACCCTGGTTAAGTTTCTCTCATTAGCCCTATTCAGGCATTCTAGATAGGGTTTGAGGTAAACCACAAGGAAGCGAAGAAGCAAGCTCCAACCCTTCAGTATTTTCATTGCCCTCAATATTTTTTGAAGGGAAAAGTTCTACTTTCTGTTGAGTTTCTCCCTGTGCTCTAGATGGGGCTCCTCTTTTCAGAACGTTGTTCTCCAATTATAGAAGGTGATGAAAAGGGATAGTTTATGGGTGTATATATGGAGCCATTAACTGCTCCTTGCTCCTCCTTGCTCCTGCTTTTATTTGAACTCTATTTGGAATGGCTGGATGGGTTTTTTTTCCAAGTATTTTCCCAATTTGGTTGTGCATCCAGTCATACATTGGTCACTTTGGTTCAGTTGTGCAACTCTGCCATTCAGTTCAAGGGTTGCATAACATAATGAATAGAAGACTGCCCAAACAGTGATTTATGTTATGCAACACTCATGTTAGATCTTCATCAAATGTGTGTGGAGAGGTGTTTCAGCTATGGATTCCTACATTGGTCTTGAGTGTACCTTCCAACTCCATGAGTCTACTAGAGGAGAATGCTCAGAACATTGTTGTATTTTACCTTCTGATTAAAACAAG